GAACCTGGCAGGAGCAAGAAAAAGCGCCTTGGGGGGACGGGCTTAAGGAGGGCTGCGTCACTTCCGGTAGCCGTAGCTGGGCGGAGGTGGCGTGGGGGTGGTTGGTCTCTCAGCAGCTCTGAAGGCAGTGCGTTCTGTGAGTTTGCTACAGATCCTCTATAAAGAAGGCCCAAGCGGTAGACAGCTTCGATTTAAACACATGGAGCGGTGACTGCAGCCAGGAGTCATGAGCGACACCAGCGAGCAGAACTACGGGGAGAGGGAATCCCATTCTGATTCAGAAGTAGAAGTGCTTGTGGATCTGGGAAATCTGCAAGGCATACCCGTGCAAGGTCTCTCTCCAACGAATATTCTAGGCATTCCAGATCAAAGTCAGGTCCAGATCTGAATCTAGGTCTAGATCCTGAAGTTCTCGAAGGCATTATGCACTATCTCGATCCCGCTCCTGTAGGCGATCCCGTAGCAGGTTTTACAGTCGAGATTATCTCAGACCGCAGAGCCACAGTCATTCTCCCATGTCTACTCATAGGCGTCATGTCGGAAATTGGGCAAATCCTGATCCCAACTGTTGTCTTGGAGTATTTGCGTTGCTATACACGACAGAAAGAGATTTGAGGGAAGTGTTCTCTAAATATGGCCCTATTGCTGGTGTGTCAATGTCATAGGACCAGCAGTCTAGGCGTTCAAGAGGATTTGCCTTTGTATATTTTGAAAATGCAGAGGATGCCAAGGAAGCTAGGGAGCGTGCCAATGGAATAGAGCTTGATGGCCGGAGGATTAGAGTTGATTTCTCCAGGACAAAAAGACCACATACTCCAACACCTGGAATTTATTTGGGGAGACCTACTATGGCTGACTCGACGGCACATAACAACAACAACAACTATGAGTTGGGGCCAACTTGACGGCAAATAACAACAACAACTATGGGATTACTATGACGCAGGATTACTATGATGGAGAAAACCATCTAGGCTATGATGATGGGGAGTACTACAGCAGATCATACAGAGGAGGAGGAGGACAGAGAGCTGTTCAAGAGAGGGATCAGATTTACAGAAGGCGGTCACCTTCTCCCCATTATAGTTGTGGAGGTTACAGATCACATTTCAGGTCTCGATAGTACTCTTCTCGCTTCTATTAAAGCATGAATTGAAGACTTTCTGAAACATGCCCCAGATTTGGGATATCGATTGTGGACAATATTTGTTATCATCTCCTGTTTAACAAGTGAACAAGCGCCTAATGAAGTTAGGTGACTTTTACATCTTTTATGATGACTACTTTTGGTGGAGTTGAAATGCTGTTTTCATTCTGTATTTGTGTAGTTCCGTGCTTTGTTCAAAGTTAAGTGTTTTCAGAAAAGTATGTTTTGCATGTATTTTTTTTTAGTCTAAATTTTGAATGCCAAGAAGTTTCTATTGTACAGAACTTCATTTAACAGGTTTTTCTACTGAATCCAGGGCATTCTGAAGATCAAAAGCCGGTGTATAAAATGCTACCAAATGGCAAAAAAGTAACAATGAACAGTTTGATTTTCACTTTTCTTTCTAACATATTAATGCTTAGTAAACCTGTTGAGATTAAGTTGTCAGCAGTAAATTTAAATACAAAAATAACCCATTTTGCTCCAGTTCAGTAAAAGTACCAGACTTAAGATACTTGGAACTAAGTGTTAGAACTATGCTTTGTAACGCTGTACTGCTAGTGTTAGAGCTAAAGATATTTCAATATAGTAAATGCTTATCTAAACGTGGATTTGTCGGCCTTTATGTAATCTGTATGATATATAGCAGGAAATAAGAGTTACACAGTATATGCCTAAAAAAGGCTATTTCTTCAAGCTGTTACAAGGTGATAATGGTATTTCAGCTAGTTATCAGCAAGTGACAATACATTCTACCACAAATGTACTCTCGTTCTTCTAGCTTTTAGGTTATGTGAAAAATACTGGGTGCTTCAGTCATGGATGAACTGAAGATTTGTCTGTTCATTTAAAAAATATTCTTTTCAGCTCCTTTGCTTACCAAAGGAGGCCCAATTTCACTCAAATGCTTTCAGAACTATGTTTAAATAAACTCAAATGAAGAGAGGAAAAAAAAAATACTATTTTATCATCAGCCTCCCCAAGCCATACTAATTCAAAATCATAGCCAACATATACTCACCTTAGGCTCCGGTAAGGGAAGGAAGCCCATTTAATGCCCACCTCAAGTTGGCCTAATTTGGCTGCTCCCATTCTGTGACATCTAACCCACAACTCTGGTGAACATGCTTACTTTGTATTTGCTTTCTGATCTGGAAGGGGTGGGAATATGTCCTTTTTTCTTGAAAGTTGTAAAGTGCTTGCACTGAGGACATGGCTTGGTGCTGGAATCAATACGGCCAAGTTCCAAGAAGTACTTATATTTGATGGAGTCTTCATGTGTTAAATTATAGATAACAGTTGTTTCTTCCAGGAATTCAAAACACTCTGTGATTGGGCATTTGATTTCTACCTGGCCAAGTTGGACCTGTATGAAAGAACAGATGGGAGAGGAAAAAAAGGTCATTGCTTTTATTACATTTCTTCTATATTTTCATGTTTTGCATGCAGTATTGTTTATTTATGATTACAGTAAAGGATAATTTAGTCATTTTTCAAGATTAAGATGCAATTAATGGTAATCACCTTGGTACCATAATAATGAATCATGATATAATGATTTAAAAATAACTTACAGAGTATTTAAACCTTCACTGATTTGTGAACTTAAATGGATTTAAGCCACAAGCTCACTAGAGAAGCAAATTATCATCCCATCCTTCTGGAAACCAGAGAGTGAGACAGAATTTAGACAATATGCCAACTACAGGAACAGTTAGAATGAAAAGATGTTTCAGATTTTTCAATCTTACAACACTAAACTCAGGACACATTTTATTACTTTAAAAGGACAAAAGTGACTTTTGTAAACTATATTTATAGTATACAGTAGTTTGAAAATTATTGCCAAAAAAATGACTATTTTCCTTGACCTTTTATGTCAAAAACATATAGTAGTTTTCCTTATACCATCAAAATCACAATCACATGAATAAGTAAGGAAGTTAAAAAATCAAAATGATGTCTTTTTTTTTTTTTTTCAAGATGTGTGAGGGAAACCCTCCTACCCTGACATCTCATTACTATCAAGGTAATTTACAAAATAAGCTTTTTCAAAGAACCACAGTGCTAGACTGGGACAGGGGTGGAAAAGTGGTGGGAGGAATATACCAGAATGCTACATTTTATATTTAGTATGGGATTCTAGATACAACTAGCATTAAAGATTATCATCCACCACTCATTGTCAGTTTAGCATATTGTTGTTGCTGTGTGTGGGAAGTTATGTTCCTGGTATTTCAAATACCAGCAGGGTCACCAGTGGTGGATAGGTTTTAGCAGAGATTCCAGACTAAGACAGACTAGGAAGAAGTATGTGGCCAGGTGCACTTCAGAAAAAAATTAGTCATGAAAACTTTATGAATAGCAGTGAAACATTGACTGACGTGGTCCTGAAAGATGAGTCCCTTGGGTTGGAAGGCATTCAAAATATGAATGCGGAATAGCTGCCCCTTCAAATTAGAGTCAACCTTAATGACATGGATGGAATAAAGCCTTCATCAAAAGGACCTTTATTTGCTGATGTGTCATGACTCAAAATGAGAAGAAACATCTGCAAACATCCTTTAATAATCAGAATGTGGAACACAGAAAGTATGAATCTAAGAAAACTGGAAATTGTAAAAAATGAAATGGAACACATAAAGATCAATGTCCTAAGCATTAGTGACCTAAAATGGAATGGTATTGGCCATTTTGAATTGGATATCCATATGGTCTTCTATGCTAGAAATGACATAGTGAAAAGAATGATGTCACATTCATCATCCAAAAGAATATTTCAAGATCTATCCTGAAGTATAATGCTGTCAGTGATAGGATAATATCCATACACCTATATGGAACACTGATGGCTCAGGTATAGCAAAGACTGTGAGGCTGGCACAGGACTGGGCAGTATTTTGTTCTGTTGTACATAGGGTCATTATGAGTTGGAGCTGACTCAATGGCATCTAACAACAACAACAGCATAAGGAAGACCGGTTATTGCTGCCATTATTCAAATTTATTCACCAACCACTGAAGCCAAAGATGAAGATATTGAAGATTTTTTACCAACTTATGCAGTCTGAAATTGACCAAACATGCATTCAAGACACATTGATAATCACTAGTGATTGGAATGTAAGAGTTGGGAACAAAGAAGCACTGGTATTTGGAAAATATGGCCTCAGTGATAGAAATGACACCTGAGATCTCATGATAGAATTTTGCAAGACTAATGACTCATTCATTGCAAATGCCTTTACTCAACAACATAAATGGTGAGTATATATGTGGACCTTGAGAGATGGAACATACATGAATCAAATCAAGTACATCTGTAGAAAGAGACTATGGTGAAACTCAATGTCATCAGAACAAGGCCAAGGGTCAATTGTGGAACAGACCATCGATTGTTTATATGCGAGTTTAAGGTGAAGCTAAAGAAAATTAAAAGAAGTACATGAGAGCTAAAATATGACCTTGAATTTAGACACTATTTGAAGAACAGATTTGATGTACTGAATATCAATGACTAAAGACCAGGTGAGTTGTGGAGTGATAGAAGAAACATCATACATGAAGAATGCAAAAGGTCATTAAAAAGACAGGAAAGAAAGGACAAAAATGGACATCAGACGAGACTCTGAAACTTGCTTTTGAGAACAAAATGGCTAAAATGAATATTATGATGAAGTAAAAGAGCTGAACAAAAGATTTCAAAGGGCAGCTTGAGAAGACTAAGTAAAATATTATAATGAAACGTGCAAAGACCTGGAGTTAGAAAATCAAAAGGGAAGAGCAGGCTGGGCATTTCTCAAGCTGAATGAACGGAAGAAAAAATCCAAGCCTTGAGTTGCAATAGTGAAGGATTCTATGGGCAAAATATTAAATGACACAGGAAGCATCAAAAGGACATGGAAGAAATAGACAGTCAGTCTACCCAAAAGAATTGGCTAACATTCAAGCATTTCAGAAGGTAGCATATGATCAAGAAGTGATGGTACTGAAGGAAGATGTCCAAGCTGAACTGAACGCACTGGCAAAAAACAAGGTCTCCATGAACTGAAAGAATATGTTCTGTGTACATAGACACAGAACTGCCAGGAATTCAAACAGGATTCAGAAGAGGACGTGGAATGAGGGGTATCACTGCTGCTGTCAGATGGATGTTGGCTGAAAGCAAAGAACACCAGAAAGATGTTTACCTGTGTTTTATTGACTCTTCAAAGGTTTTTGACTGAGTGGATCATAACAAATTATGCAACACTGCAAAGAATGGGATTTCCAGAACACTTAATTGTATTGGTGACCTATAAATAGACCAAGAGGAAGTTATCTGAACAGAACAAGGGGTTTAAAATCAGGAAAGATGTGTGTCAGGGTTGTATCCTTTCACCATACTTATTCAATCTGCATGCTAAGCAAATAATCCAAGAAGCTGGAGTAGATAAAGAAGAAAACGACATCAGGATTGGAGGAAGACTTATTAACAACCTGCCATACCCAGGTGACACAACCTTTCTTGCTGAAAGTGAAGGAGATTTGAAGCACTTATTGATGAAAATCAATGACTACAGCGTTCAGTATGGATTACATCTCAACACAAAGAAAGCAAAAATCCCCCCAACTGGATTGAGAAGCAACATCATGATAAATGGAGAAAGATTGAAGTTTTCAAGGATTTCATTTTACTTGGGTCCACAATCAACACTCATGGATGCAGCAGTCAAATAATCACAGGATGTATTATTGCACTGGGCAAATCTGCTGCAACAGAACTCTTTAAAGTGTTAAAGAGCAAAGATGTCACATTGAAGAATTAGGTGCACCTGACCCAAGGCATAATATTTTCAATAGCCTCACATGCATGTGAAAGTTGTACAAGGAATAAGCAACACTGTAGAAGAAATGATGCATTTGAATTGTGGTGTTGGCAAACAATACTGAATATACCATGGACTGCCAAAAGAACAAACAATCTTGTCTTAGAAGAAGTATAATCAGAATGCTCCTTGCAAGAGAGAATGGCCAAACTTGATCTCTTATAGTTTGGTCATGTTGTCAGGAGAAGGATATTGTGCTTGGTAAAGTGGAGGGTCAGTGCAAAAGGTGAAGACCCTCAAGGAGATGGATTCACATAGTGGCTGCAATGATAGGCTCAAGCATGGCAACGATTGTGAGAATGGTGAAGGACTGGGCAGTGTTCCATTCTGATGCACACAGGGTTGCTTTGAGTCACAACTTACTTGACAGCACCTAACAACAACAAAGATTACAGTAAAAAGCACAGCTTGTGGGTACAACTGAATTTTAAAAGATGGAAAAATAAAAGAGTTTGAAATTAGGAGAATCAAATATTTTCCTCAAGTAGTTACCTCTTTATTATCATGACATCATAGATTTTTTTTGGCCTTCCTAATATATCAAATAGAAGCTATGAACACCACAGATGGCAAACAATGACAGAGTATTTCTTTTTCATTTGAGAGAGTCCAATGTTCGGAGAAGATAACTTTCCACTTTAATGAGAAAAGAACACTGTTAAAAGACTGAGCTAAGAATGGAAAAAAAGGTACTCAGGCAGGGAAAAGAAAAATATCACCATAAAGAACATTAAAAAGAATAAATTAAGCTGCAAAATGACCTGGCATTGTCATCTAATCTGTAATTTCACAAGGTGGGAGCAGGGTCAACATCAACACAAGGCTGCTTCCTATGAGGTGGAGGTCAGACATGCTTCCATTCTCCAAACTTACCAGTTCTGACACAAATCCTATGGCACTCTCAACTTTTCTGCTGGATTTGATAATTTATTGTAATGACCACACAGAACTCACACACTACACTCACGATTATAGAATTTACTAGGGAAGTAACAGGTTACCATTTATTATCAAAAACAACTCACGATACTGTTCTTCGATCAGGACAGACTCTTCTCAGCAGTGTACCTCTCTCTGGCCCTTGGTCTCTCAGTTCCACAGTCCTTTGACCTCTGCCCTCTCAGATAATTTTTACAAAGTTCTTGTAGCTCTGCAAGTAAGTTCCTAAAAGCACCCCACTCTGCCAGTAAGTCTCAGCCTGAAAGCACTCTCAGCTTTCTTGCTTTGGGGGTCTAGAAGCGCACTGCCCTGTCTGCCACTGCTGCTGTGGCTATTGCCATCGTTTCTGTGCTGCTGCTTCTCACTCTCTCTGGTGTCACAGCACTCTGTCTCCTGGATTGAGAAGGTTCAGTGCAGGGATCTTGGGTTCAAAAGATGCGTTCCACTTCTAGCTCTTCTTTCTTGATGGTAATGAGATCCTCTTTTCATCTCTGGGATGGTTCATTTTAAGCCTAGCAAGAAGGCAAAACTGACCAATCTCTATGCTAGGGTTTCATTC